CATGAATAACTTTATTATTATTATATTTTATTTTATATTTTGAATAAAATTCGAAAAATAAATTTTAGCTATTTTGTTGAACTTATAAAAATAAGTTGAAAAAATCTTATGAAACAATTTCATAAATTTTTGTCATAATTTGTTTTTATAAGTTCTCTCAAATAAATAGTATCAAAAATCTTATATTAACAGGATCAAAAAAACATTCAGTCTTATTAATATTTTAATTTATTAACCTATTTAATATTATTTTAATTGCTTATTTACAAATACTCAAATGATGTAGACTTTTAAATAGGTTAGTATGTCAATCAAACATTTGAATAGGCTAAATCCATACTTAAAAATAAGTCTATAATAGACTATAAATCAGACTTAAATTTTGAATTTTTTAGCCAAACAGACTAAAGCTTGCATGCTCTATCAAAATCCATTAAAAACTTGGAAAGCTTGCATGCTCCATCAAAATCCATTAAAAAGAGGCTGCCAAAATAGAGGATGCATGGGTATTTATCATGCTCGTTTTGTTTAATGGTGCACAGACAGGTTGGCCTGCTACTCTATCCTTTTTTATTTAAAAAACTTTTTTTTTTAATTGCACTAAGTTCATTTTTTTTTTTGGTAAGCAGAATAAATTAAAAGGACATTAAGGAAATCTCAAACCAAGAGTCAATTACAAAAAATCAAAAGAAAATTTGAACTAATCATACAAGCAGCACGACTTGCTCCCCTTCTACCTATGATCAACTAATTCCAAAAATAAAGTTTTATGTCGAATATAATACCGTCGACCTCAATAACTACATTATTGAATATACAATCGTTTCTAGACCTCCAGATACTCCAGCAAGTAATAAACCAAATTGAATTTACTTTATTCGCTTGACACCGATCTCTAAAACTCTTGTTCAGAGTAGTCGAACATGATTGTGTAGGCTAGTGGTTACTCAAACACAATTAGGCTGATCACTTGTCAATATAATCAGATAATGATCTAGATTGCACTAACACTTATGTGGAGTGAAAATGTACAAAAATTTGTATAAAATAATGTCTGGTTCATTTTTAGTTCACATCAAAGAAACACTAAACTCTTCTTACCTATGTTCAATTAGAATTAATTATAACATAGCTCTAATGTACTACAAAAAAAGAACCTATTTCTATTTGCTTAGGATCGGTAACTATGTTACAATGTCTTATTTGAATGATCAAATAAATTGTCATCTCAACCACTGTTTTTTTATATTTAAAATTTCAAAAAATTATCGCTATGGATTGAACTCATGACCTTTACACCTTTTTTGTCGGTGGAGGTAAAATCGAGAGGCAAAGTGATACACCTTTTTATGAGGTCCTTCGTTTTTTCATATATAAAAATGAAGTTATAACTCATATTCAACCGTGGTAAAAGGAGTTTTTCGTGATTAGGAATGAAAATAATAAAAACATATTAACGATGTAAATTGATGCATATAAGATTTTTATTTATTTAATATTATGGATACAATATTTGATATACTTAAAAGTGTAATGCGTTAACTTAATAGTTTTCTAGTGTGCACACAGATAAAGAGACTATGATTTTTAAATATTATAATAGGTAGAAATCTCTCATCAATCATCTCTTTTTGTTAACCTAACCTTCAAACCATTCTTCATAAGAAGTACAATTGAAAGATTTGGAATAGGAATATGACCTTTCACTACATGGATATGATATTTGCACAAAATTGCAACTGCCACCATCTTAATTTGAATGAATGCCAAGTCCTTTCCCAAGCAAGTTCTTGGTCCAGCATTGAAACTAATGAACTTATAAGATGGTGCATAAACAATGCCCCCTCTCTCAGATATCCATCTCTCTGGCTTGAACTCCAAGCAATCTTTTCCCCATATCTCTTCAACTCTCCCCATTGAATATAAAGAAAATAGTATCATTGTATTAGGATTAACAACATGGCCACTGGGAAGTATATCACCTTTGATTGCATGCTTTGTCTCAAAGGGTATAGGAGGAAAAAGTCTTAGAGCCTCACATATAGCACCATGAAGATAAACTAGCTTTTTCACCTCATCAACTCCTATCTTTTTTTCAATATTAATGCCTCCAAAATTTTCTTGAATCTCTTCAAGAATTTTGGCTTCTACTAAAGGATGTGTAGCAACAAGATAAAAGAGCCATGTGAGTGCTGAAGTTATTGTATCTCTCCCAGCGACAAAGAGATTGAAAGCAGCATCCCTTAGAAACTTATCATCATGAACTACTCCTTGTGACGCTTTCTCGTCTCTCATCAAAGTGGTTAACAAGTCTTCCTTTTCATTATTTTTTACACCCTTTTTTAACTCCTTTCGTTTGGACTCTATATTAGCATATATAAATTGATCAAATTCTTTGTATGCTTTTGTCATTTTTTTCTCTTGACCAACTTGAAGTAGTTTTTGAAGCATCCAAAAACTTTTTGGTATAACATGTCTATAGAATATGCATTCTTCAATTTGATCAAAAGCCTTCTCACAGATAACATCAGGAAATTCAACGGAAAGACAATTTGGATCACATCCGAGAATTATTGAACAGATGTTGTCAAATGTGAAACGATTGAATACATCTTGTAAATCCACCACCAAACTTTGTTGTTCTACATGATCCAACAAAGGAATCAAGCTTTTTTCTAACTTATTTTGAATAAGTTTCTCTTGGAAAAATTCAAAGCCTCTTTGTTTGAAAAGAGAGTGAAAAAGAGATCGGTTGTATTTCCATGTCTCCGAATCCGCAGCAAATATCCCATTTCCAAAAGCTTCAAAAATATCACGAAACTCGTGACCTTTCACATAATTGTCAAAACACTTGCTAAACATGTGATGCACGTTCATGGGATCACTAGTAATCAAAAAGTTCATGTTGCTAAACCAAGGTCCCATGAACTCAGCAGTGCCCCTATGGTGTTTTTTCAATTCCTCAGTTACCAAATCATGAAAACTCGATAACTTCCAAAGAAGTGTTGGTAACATGCCTAGAAAAGGATAATCGTTTAAAATGGGGCTTTTGCAAAATTTTCTTCTATGATGGATTTTGAAGAGTATGAAAAGGAAGAAAAAAAATGCACAAAACATTGTTGTAGAAGTCAACATGGCTTATTGTATATGACAAAAAATACCTTATTTAGATATATGATTTAAATGTCTATGGCAATTTGCTCTATATATATAAAGATTGAATGGAGGAATATTTTAGTTTCTTACGCAACATATTGTACATCAAATAGATTTTTAACTAATTTAATAAAGCCTCACAAAAGGAGCTAATATCTAACTTCTTCATGTTCATAACACCCATCTTAAAATTGAAAGAAATAGACTAGAGCCAACTTCTGTTCTTAGGAACGGAAACACCTAACTTTGTATTTATATTACAAAGTTTGCAATCATAAACGCTATCAAAAACACATAATTTTCCAAACCGTTAAATACAAAATATATATATATATATATATATATATATATATATATATATATATATATATATATATATATATATATATATATATATATATATATATATATATATATATATATATATATATATATATATATATATATATATATATATATATATATATATATATATATATATATATATATATATATATATATATATATATATATATATAATGATAAAACAAATGAGCCTTTATTGTAGTGAATAAAATTCAAGTCAAATCTCGATACTCAAAATCATTATATTAATATCTTTAAGGATCAATGAAAATCTTAATTATTATTTCTTTTATAGTATAATCTAGATTTTTTCGATAATAAAAGCTTTTATATATATATATATATATATATATATATATATATATATATATATATATATATATATATATATATATATATATATATATATATATATATATATATATATATATATATATATATATATATATATATATATATATATATATATATATATATATATATATATATATATATATATATATATATATATATATATATATATATATATATATATATATATATATATATATATATATATATATATATATGATAATCTGATGGTAAGATTTTTTTTAAGAAACAAAACAAAATTTATTTAATTGGGCCTAATGTCTTTTTGGATATGGACAATAATACAATGTGGAGTTTCCTCCATCCAAATTTTATTGAAAATTTCTTATTATATCCTACATACTTCTAACGCACCGTAAGAATTTTATATATGCTCCTCAATTTTAGAGATATATTTCCGGACGTACATTTTGCATACTCAACCAAAATCATTCTAAGTTACTTCCCATACATGAGTTACGTCCCATATATCACCGGAACATTTTAAGGAGAACATTTTTTCTAGTTCAATAGATATTTCAGAGATGCATCTTTGAAATTATGGACGGCATTTTAAAATTTTCTGTCATCTTTGCATATCATGTATTTCTGGAGATGCATCTCCAAAAATACCTAACATAACATCCAGCTGCATGATCACTCCTCCATTGTTGTTCTACTTCACTCTCAACCAAACCCTTCACCCCAAACACCCTTCATTCATAATTCATTTTTTTCACTCCAAATCTACATCCTTTTGGTTCAGCATATCACAGGGAGTAAAAGAAGATAGAATTTCAAGTAAATATTGTTCTTTTTCCTCTACATTACTCATATTAATCATCAATTTTTCTGAAAAAACTTACGCTGTATTCGAAAATGTATCTTCGAAACGTATATGAATTTGTCCGGAGATGCATTTTTGAACATTGTCTATGTTTATTTTTCAGTCATTCTACAACAGTAGTTGAACTAATGTTGTGTTACTATTTTAATTATTTTCAATAGATATGGTGCATCCCGATGTTTTTCTAAAATAAGTTGTTTCACTGAACATTATTTCTCCAAATATTCAAGGGGTTGTTGTGAAGGCGGTAGATGTTGACAACAATTTTAAAAACAAGCAAGAGTTTGAATCTCGTGATCAAATGCTTGAATGGATTCGTATGGAGGCCTCTGAACTTGGATTTGGTGTGGTTATCAGAAGGTTCGATAATGGTTCGGATAGAAGATGCACTTTTGTGACTATGGTGTGCAAAAGAAGCGGAAAATATCGAACTCCTCTCCGGAATTTTAAAAGAGACGACACAGGTAGTAGAAAATGTAAGTATCCGTTTAAGGTTCATGGTTACATGTTGGCAAACAAAAAATGGAGATTTAATGTGATATGTGGTTTGCATAACCATGATTTGTGTTTAAAATTAGCTGGTCATCCTAGTGTCTATCGGATAAAGCCGGAAGAGAAGGAATGTATTAATGACATGACCTTGAATCTTGTTCAACCGAAAAATATTCTTGCAACATTGAAATGGAAGCAACTCGATAATATATCAAATATCAAGCAAGTGTATAACATTCGGCACCTCACTAACAATGTGATTATGGGGGATAGAACTGAGATGCAACAACTCTTGAAACTGTTGGATGATAGCAGTTACGTATCCCGGTACCGAACATGCGATGATATAGTTACGATTAGAGATATTTTTTGGACTCATACTGATTCCATAAAGTTGTTTAATATGTTTCCTACTGTACTTGTTTCAACATACAAGCCCAACAAGTATAAACTTATATTATTTGAGATGGTTGGTGTTACCTCAATTGAGAAGACATGTTCTGTTGGTTTTGTATTTCTTGAGTGTGAAAAAGAGAACAATTTTACTTGGATATTAGAGGTGTACGAACTTCACTATTAGCATAATTAATTCAGAGTCAAACAACACAGTTTACACTCCTCACTTAAAACCTACCCAATGACAATTCAGCCTAGAGACACTCTAGACCTGAGTATACCCACTCACTCCCCCTCAATCACCACAGTGATATACAATTCACAATTATAGAATAAATATGAAGAGACACTTCATACACACCTTGATCTTGCTTCACAGCTTTGATCAAGGAACTCACACACTCTTGCTTCACAGCTCTGAGTGAGACACATCCTAGAATCTACCTATCCAATGCAAATCATCCACCAGACAATTACTTGGAGTACAAGTATTCCTAGACAGAATTCACACGTGAAGACTAGCCTTTTTCACTTACAAGGACTCTATAATCTGCACTCTCTATTCTTCTTCTATCAAGAGCTGCTATTCAGGATTGCATCTTCTGATATCTATAGCAGCTGTCAGTCCTTTTGGGCCTTGGTGCATAAATTAGGTTTTATTCATAACAAACCTATTTTCAATGATCTGCACACTTGCCACTTAATTCAGGAATATTTTAGTCCGCCTAGGACTTCTAGAAAGTCTCCTGATATCCAGCTTGAGCTCCTATTCTGTTTCCCGGTTTATAGCTACCAGAAAAACAAACCTGCGCAAACCCGCGCTTGATGTCATACGACCCAAGTCATAACATTGGGTATGACATCCAGTTTAACTTGCTTTTAGCTAAGTCAACTTACCCTGCACTGTCCACATTATGTATGCACTAACATCAGTTATGACATACATACATGCTCTAGTATTTTGCCTCAAAATGCAGCCAATCAAGAGCACTTACAAAGGAGAGGATAAAAAATTACATAATTAGTGTAAATTAGTTTTATAATAATAAAAAAACTCAAATCTCATATATCGATAATTCAGACAATTTATCATTCATATTTATGCCAATCTATCAAATTCAATGATATTGGGTGTGAAAAGATGTATTAGAAAAAAATTAAGTTCTACATTAGTTAAATATAAAACTCAATGAATTCATATACAATAACACTTGTCATCTTACAAAACCAATTTATAAAATAAAAAATGTTATTTTATATAAATTATTTGTGAGTTCTATGTTAATGAGTTTTTTCTCAATATACAATGTGTTTCAATATAAATATAATATTTGATAATTATTTTAAACAAATGGATTCAAAAACCTAATGAATTTTGATTAAATAATCGTATAAAATTATTTTACAAAAGTTGATACATATTTATTCAACTCAATTAAGAATTTAAGATTGCCTCACTATAATTTCGACAAAGTCACCAAACATGTATATTATAATTAGAATGCATATGGGTAGAGAAGTTGATAGCAAAATGAAAGATTGAGAATTTAATGCACTGCTGACATTTGTATTAATCATACCAAATTAATCATACCAAATTTTAGACTTAGGTCATCCACCTATGTGTGTGGCTTAGCTTACCGTTACGTTAGCTTACATCTAGATCCATCTTTTATTATTTCAACATAAAAATCAATTGTTTATTTGTTCAAAGAAATTATCACTATTTCAAATTTTATATTATTTTTATAGATTTATTTTCAATTATAATTCGTTTTATTATTTCAATAAAATTTTTTTTATCATAAATATTATTCTCTCTACTTTTAAATTATTTGAAAATTTTCTTTTAATATCATTAATAAATATAATTTTATGAATTGTTTTATAATTTCTTTGTCTAGATAAAATTAATTACATTATGTATGAACTAGCAAAATATTCTACATTTACACGAGTAAATTTATTTAATAAGATATATATTATATTTAAATATATATGTAAATTTAAAATGAAATTTTAATTATAATAAAATAAATAATAATAATATAAACTTAATTATGTTAAATAATAACACAAAAAAAAACTTGTAAAATTGAAAAAAAGAAAAGAAATAAAGGTTTTGACATTTGAAAATAAGAATTTTGTGTCACAAATAAAGAAAATCATTAATTAAAATAAAATAGGTATTTTACTAATAGTGGTCCGTGAGAAAAAAGAGAAATTTTGATATTTAAAAATAAAAATTTTGTGTCTTAAATAATAACAATTATTGATTAAAATAAAATATACATTTTTATGATAGTGACCCGTGAGAAAAAGAGAAGTTTTGACGTATAAAAATAAGAATTTTGTGTCTCAAATAAACATAATTGTTAATTAAAATAAAATAGATATTTCACTGATAACCTATAAGAAAAAAAAAAGAAATTTTGATATTTAAAATGAAAGTTTTGTGTCTCAACTAAAGATAATTGTTAATTAAAATAAAATAAGTATTTTGTTGATAGTGATCTGTGAAAAAAGATAATTTTTTTTGAAAATAAAATTTTTATTTTTTAAATAACAAAAAATATTAATTAAAATAGAATAGATATTTTTTTATAACAATCTATTAGATAAAAAGTTAATTGTGTGTATGGTTATTAAGTATTATCTAATTTTATAAAATAAATTCTTAATTTTATTAAAATTTAAAATTAAATTAATTAATATTTTAATAATAGTAAATAAATAAAACTAATTAAATTTGTCTTAAAAATAAAACTAAATATCAATATTGTATATATTCATACACCAATAAATATTTAATATGTTAACATATATTATAATTAAGTATTTTAATATATTAAAAAGAATGAGGAGAAGATAAAATAATTAGATAGAAAAGATGAAATAATAAAATAAAAAGAGAAAGAAGAATGAGATGATGAGTGAAAGAGTGAGAGGTGGAGGAAAAAGGGAAAGTTGAAAAAATATTAAAGAAACTTTATGCTTGATAATATTTGGTTGAAGTAAGGCGAATTAATTAAAAATTAATCTCAAAAGGATTCATCTGGAAAGATTTGAATTTTGAAAATTTATTCTTCTTAAGATCTCAAGTTTGAACCGATGTCAAGATTTAAAAATAATAAAATTAATTAGGAGATTAAATTTTTACTATTTTAATTTTTTGCAAGTGTGAAAAATTTTCAAATAAAAAATATTATTGATAATTTGTATTCGTATTATTTTAATAAATAAATAGTTGAATGGTTAAAATATCTTATAACTTAAGAGAGAGAAAGTATATGTAATAAGTGAAAATCATAGTTGAAATAATACTTTAATAGTTTTTAAAGTTAAATAAGTTTGTGATCTTCATTAATATAGCATATTTTATTTTAAATCATCAAATTTTTTTCAAGATACAATTTTAGTTTAATTTTTCTTTTTCAAATGCACAAGGGATACCATTATGTGTATCATGAATTTCAATTTAACTTTTTTCAATTGCAAAAGAAATGACAAGATAAAGTTTTTTAGTAGGATATAATTTAGCTTTTTAAAGTTGAAAATCACATAAAGTTTTTCCAATAACACAATACTTATACGGCAATTTGTTGTTGAGAATGGCTTCATAAAAATAAACATTTAAGTAAGTTTAAAAAAAATACATGAATATAAGGCTTAATATCCTTTTTGTCTTGTATATTAATTTTATGATTCATTCTGATCCCTTAATTTTAAAAAGATTTATATTGGTCCATCAATTCTTCAAAACGTTTCATATTAGTTATTTTTGTCTTATTAGCGACGGAAAAATTCAAAAATTAATCGCTAAACTCATCGTTAATTAGACAAAAAAGATTAATATAAAATGTTTTAAACAATTAAGAAACAAATATGGACTTTTTAAAAATTAACGGATCAAAATAAACTCCGAAATTAAGATACGAGACCAAAATCGACTATCCACATCTTGTTTCAAAGGGGGTTGGAGTTGTGGCGGCTATAAATATTATGGAGGATGACTATGTTGATAATTTTGATAGATGTAATTGATGTATTGAACGAAACATTAAACACTCATTGGATGATCTTAGAAATGTCTCTCACACATGTTGGTAAAGGTTTTTTATTTTTATTTTTTCATTTTCAGCTATTAAGGAGTTTAGAAAGGTTTGACCGTAGGATTGAGGGCTCTCCAAGTATTCGTTCACATATTTAATTAGACATTAAACTATAATAAAAATTTGGTTAAAAGATACTAATGTTGAAATGTTGGATTAGAATCCATCGAATTTCTTATGTGTTGTAAATGTGTCTTAAAATCTTTGTTGATGAAGAGAAAGAAAATATATTTTGGAAATTGCGTTTACCGCGAAAATTGAACGAAAAGTTAAGGGAAAAAAATCGGTCGGTGAATAGTGGCATCCGTACGGTGAATACTGCTATCCATACTGATGAATAGTGACATTCGTACGGTAAATAGTATTTTCGAGTTTTCGGGCTTTTTTATTCCCGATTCGGTCCATGGATCTATGTAATTTTAGATTTTGTTTGTTGGGTATTTGCTATTATAAATATGTATCTCTTATATGTTTGGTGTGTTACAATCTTAGAGTTTACACCAACAAGGGAGAGCAAGAGTTTAAAGGTATAACATAGGGTTTCAGCTATGCACAAAGAAAACCTTGGATTTGAGTGATTCATATATTGAGAGTTAAAGAGGTAGAGAAACACTTGGATATAAAATAGGGCTGTTCTTGAGCGAAGGCTATTTTCTTGTAGTCTCATTTGTAATCTCTTGTAACAACTTTTTGAGTATAATGAATTGGAGAGCTGCTCTCTGCCCCAGAGTAGATCGTTTCATCGAACTGGGTAAACAAACCTTCGATTTTTTCTTGCCTTATTCTGTTATATCATCGGCGTACGAATTATTATTATTGTAGACCATTTATTTTGGTTGGTATGTTCTTTGCCTCACAAATTGATATTGAATTTTGTCGTAATTCACAACAAGATTCACAACAAGTGGTGGGGTGAGCATGGAGCAAAGATATATTGTTGACAAGTGAGCACCATGATTAGTATATGGAAGATCGAGAAATTTTCCGGTAACAACGACTTTGGATTGTGGAAAATTAAGATGCAAGCAATTTTAATTCAAGAGAAGTGTATCGATGCTTTGTAGAGTGAAGC